TCCTTCTCTAATACGCTGGCTTATTTTGGTTGCTTTCTTTTGTTTCAGTACTAGGCAAATGTTCTACCACTAAACCACATCCCTAGCTTTACACTGTGTCCTTGAAAGGTAAGAACTGTGTCATAATTTTTTTCAAATTCCCAGGCACTAGCACAGCACACCTCGGGAGATTTAACAAATTCACAGAAAAAAAAAAAATAGTAATTTGTTTCCCGAGGAAAGTATGCCACAATAGAAAATGCACTATGCTAAGCTCTGTCCATAACTAGCTATATCTTACAAATTGTGAACTTCCAATAAAAGGTGGTAACTATTTAGATCTCTAAAGTTGCTAACCCAGTTTTTGTTTTCTATTAATTCTTGATAGGTAATAAAACATCTTTATTTCAAACATTAATTTATACTGGATCTACTTCATTCTTTACATTTCCTATAGAGATCTTCTACTGTGAGTGTAGTAAAGGCCACGAGGACTCCATTTTTTCTCTCAGCTTCACAGTCCTGTGGCTTTCCTACCTTGATCCTCTCTCTTGTTGTCTGCTGCTCTCTTCTGTTCTGCTCCCACTTGCAACTAGCTATAACCCTGGTCCGGGAAGCATATTGCCAAAAGACAGAAACTAGTAGTGATGGCCAAAAAGAGATGAAATCTAGCAGTCATTAACCTTTCTTTTCTGCAGTCTTCTCTTGTTTGAAGTGAGGGAGTATCACTCTATAAAAATTTCACCCTGCATCCCTCAATGACTACTATTTCTTTCACTCATGTCCGTGATAATTCTGGACAGATGAAAGGGAGAAATTTTTACTTTCTCTCTGATTCTCTTCATTCTTTCCCCTATTTAAAAAAAATTCTACCCATAGTTTTAAAACAAAGTTCCTATTCTTATTACTTGTAACATAGAGAAAGAAGTCTCTGCTTGCCAATGAAGCCCAGAAATGTATCCTTGTGAAAAGTCTGTTCAAATGGGCATTAGCCTTGATTAGGATACTGTTAGTACTGCAGGCTCTTTGGTCCCGAATGAAGGGGTCATTGATAGATACTAAAATCAACTGAAGTATTTTATGAGAGGACTTAAGAGATTACAGCTACAAACTAACTTTCAAAATATAAGATGCTTATAATTCAGGGTCTGGTTATCCAACGTGGATTAGCACTTTTTTGTATTTTAAATTGCAATAAAATAATCTATATCTTCATCTGCTATGATATTGTGACAATTAATATTTTAATTAAAATGCTTCCTTGATAAATAATATTTATAGACATACAAATAAACCTAAGATATGTGCTCATTTAGAAACTTACATTCTATGAAGTTCATAGAGATGTTACAAGATTATAGGAATGGAGATATTTTCCAAAATAGAAAAACTGAGAAAGCCTAACGTGAGTAATAAAGGTCTATGTAGGTTTGCCATGCTATATAAAAGATGAGACAAAAATAATAAACATATAATCTTAAAATTTCTAAGGTCATAGTTTAGTCAACTAGTTTAAGGAACAAAATATATATCTAGTCAAGGTTGATCTGAGAACATTTGGTTTTTTCACCCAAGCTTTATGTACCTAGCACATGGTAATTAAATGTACCAGACTGGTGGAACTAACCTTATTGGATATTTAACAGCCATACTTTGAGGCCTATACTAATCTGGTCAGAGGGACTTAAAGGACAGTTTTTGCCCCTTGCCCTCCAAGATCGAATAAGTTCCAGGGGACTATGAACATCTCTCAGAATGTCCTGCAACTGTGGTGAGTCACCTGTTCTCTTGTTCAGGGAGGCCACAGAGACCCCACGAGATGGATTTGAACCAGCAACCAGTCTACAAAGAGGAGGGTCAACACAGAGGAAACATCTCCTCCATGCGTCCAAGTGAAGCCAGCCATGGTCGAGTAGGACCTTTGACTTATCTTCACATAGATGGAACTGGTAAAAGAAAGGAGCCAGGGACTCCTCCCAAGCCCAAGTGACCCCTGAGGAACAGATCCTCAAATGACCTTAAGTATAAAAATAAGTTGATTTATTTGGGCCAACTGTATGATCTTAAACACCCAAACTTTAAGAGTTCCCAGACATTGGGCTTAAGAAGTCCATATAAAAAGTTATTTAGACAATTATTTCTCATTGATGATTTTGTTCCTAATCAGAAAGTGCTGCTCAGATGTAAGACTTCAAATCTTGGTCTGCAATACTGTAGTGCTCACCTGTAGCTAAGGGAGACAACCCACTATTGTTCTAAAATGATGGATGAATTTGTTTTCTCTCCCTATCTAGAAGCCTTTGAGAGGGAACTGACACCGATTCTAACTAGAGCAACTATCAAAATGCCTGAAAGCAAATCCTGAATCCATCACTCTCGAGTCCAGC